AGAGAGTGACTGGCCCAAAGTCACCCAGCTGGCTTTTGTGCCTAAGCCGGAATTAGAACTCACCGTCTCCTGGTTTCTAGCCTGGTGCCTTCACCACTGGACCAAACTGGCTTTCTTACTGCAAAGTGCAAATTATAGGAATTGCCATGCTGGCTCTGGTCTTGTCAGGTATTCCATGGGCAGATGAGTGGCGCCTTATCACCCCCGCTGCCTAAACTGAAATGGCCACAAAGGGGAGTTGCCAGCAACTGAAGGAGAAGTGGCACGCCAAGAAGCAGCATGAAGCAGCCAATAAAAACTGGGCAGATCTCAGCCTTTGCCAAGTCATCACAGTCATCTCTGAAGTACTGAAGATTGTACTTGTAACAAGGCTTGTTTCCAGAGAAGATGCAAAACCCTGCACACTCTTATCAGATGTGAAAACCCCCTAAAATTTAGGTGGCCTTAGCTTCTCTGCAGCTGTCCCTGCCCTGTGGAACACCCTTCCCCCAGAGATCCGGCAGGCCCCCACCCGCTCTGCCTTCTAGAGGCCCTTGAAGAGCGTTGGGGTAGGACGAGGCTGGAATCCAGCAGGACGGTACGCGGATGTATGGGAGAGTGTGGTCCCAGGGCGCCATGGGTTTTTATAGTTGTTATTGACTTTTTATTCTGATGGTTTGTTTTGAATGTTTTCCGCACCATCCAGGGATGTTGTTACAATATGGGCAGCTGTATAAGTCTTTTGAAATTAAAAAAAAAATGCACATGTGGATGTGTCCTTAAAGTACAGTTAGTAAGGCATCCCAAACCCAAAGTTAGGGTGATGTGTGTGTGTCAAAGGAGTAGACAGCATCTTGAATGGTATGTCAGTTTTTCCTTAACATGGTACGTGCATGGGCCTTTTAAACATTCTCTTATCTCAAAATTAATGATTTTTTCTTACTGGGTAGGAAGCTGATCTTCATGGCGATGCATATGATTGTATAACAGTTTGCTCTTTTGAAGCTGTTATCAACCCCATTTTAATTCAAAGGGAGACAGATGATTAATGGAGAAATAATACATAAACTGTTTAGCTAGAAATAAGGTAACAGAAGTTTTTGTCATCTTAGTCTTTGTAAAAATAGAGTTTGGCATGATTATATGAAAAGACATCTTTTGCTTTAACTTAGACACCACCTTCTCACATTTCTTCTCAAAGTCAATTTTTATGACATTAGATGGAATGAGAATTAGATATCCAAGTGCTGAATTACATTTTCCCCCCCAATCCTTTCTGGTTCAGGAGTATTCTCTCAATATGGAACACAGCAATTCACCAGGGAGGAAGTGTACAATCTCCCTACAGAATACAGTGGCCAGACAAGCATCACTCACTCCCTGCTGGATCCTTTATATGCAGGTAAAAAAAGGAAATGATGGAAATAGGCAATTGTTTGATTTTCAGTGACCTCACTGAAATCTTTGGGACCTTATTATTACTAATGAATGTATTAATAGTGCCTGGGATTATCTGAGAGGAGAAAAAACCTGAATCTCTCTCTAGACATGGGGATCGCAAGGGGAAGGTTTAAATCTCCATTCAGAGAGAATTAAAAGAGGATGAAAGAAGTCTAGTCTACTCCTGAAGTTGTGTTTATATGGACTTTAAGAGAATGTGGCCTGTTCTGCCTCTTTCCCTGTCTTTCAATCTACTTCAAAAAAACAGAGCTGTTTTTCTTCCCTAGAAAGTTGGCAGAAGAGGCCTTTTCCTAAATAGCTTTATTGAATGGTACTGTATTCTCTTCATAGAATTAGGAAACACTCCTATCGCTGCTAAGACCAGGAACAATATCAGAGTAGTTATTTCTACGTTAAGGACCACTTTCTTTGTACAAAGGAAATTAAATGGAGGCTTCTGCCCAATATTATTGTTATCAAGAGAACTCTGCGCCTGCTTAAAGCACACTAGGACCAGCAGCCCAACACTATTCAGGCATTTGGGAAAGGATTGTATCAATCACGCAAGCCGTGCTGAGTGCCTGCAGCCGCACTCATGAGATCCTTTAAGACAGATGTCTATGTAGCTTTATATGCAAAGCCTTTGATGTTACAGATGGTTGCACCTTATATGCAGATGGCTGTTTTTCAGATGGCATCAGAAGCATGACTTCAGGAAGGGCTGGGGTATTTGCTACTTCTCTCTGGGTGGGGATCACTCTTCCCCAAGTGCTTGAATAGGGCGAGAGTTATCAGATAAACGGCTCTAGGGTGTTCCTAAATGAAACTCTGCATAGGTGCAGAAGCCATAAAAGTGATTATGGCTCAGGGACTACAAAACATAAATTGTGTAGGCTTGCACATATGCATGGCCATGTGTTCATGCACACACACAGATTGAACTCACACATCATAAGCCATCATTTGTTTAATTACAGCTTAGTGAATAAACCACAATTGGCTGGGTTCACAAAATGCACAATTTTTATAAACCAGAATATTTGGGTTTATACCACACACTCAACAAAACCTCAACAGCCTACATTATGCTTTAGGAATGATGTGCAAATCTAGCCACAGGGGAACTGCTGTTTATGCAATCTTCGTTTTGTTCCCTTGTTTCAGATGGTGTGCTGATGACCACCCAGCGAGTGGAGAGTGGCAGCACCCTTACCAAACAGATCACCAAAGAATATGTCACCAGCACAATGTCTAGCAATAGTGGGACATTCTCTAGACAGACAGAGAGGCAATTCTATGAAGCTTGAGTGCAGAAGGAAACTGCCAAAAGGACACTCGGATTTCAACAAGATGTTCTGTGGCCATCCTCCAGATGGAAGCAGAAGGCAACCTCTGTGCTGCATCAGCCCTAAAAGCCACTCACTGGCCATTGTTTCTGAGATACCACTAGGTGGGAACTGCATACAGCCCAGCTGGTAACCTTGCTTCTTGTGAAAGGAGCTTTTAGCACAACGCTTGGCTATGAAACTCTCCTATCTAGTTCTACTTTGAGTCCAGCTCCTGAGCATTTGCTTTGCTGCTCTGGATTTGGTTTGAAATCCTTACCTCTCACCATTCCTTTTAGTTTTGCATATTTTAACTGGATTTCTTCCTCCTTTTTGATGTTAATACCATCCAGTTTTTTTTTCCTGAGTTTGATAATGTCCTTTTGACACATACATTCCTTGCAATGCAGGGGAGTTATCCAGATTGTTTTATGGTAGGTGCAGTATGTAGAAACTCATTGGCAGATTAACAAAAATAGTGTTACCTACTTTATGGTGCAGGATTGCTGAAATATATACAGGTAGTCCTTGTTTAGCGACTGTCTCGTTTATCAACCATTCAGAGTTGTAACAGTGATGAAAAAGTAACTTTACAACCAATCCTCACATTTATGACCTTCGCAGGTTTCTAAAGCAAAGGACAGCTGAAGTAAGACCATAAGCACAGTCATGGTTTAACGACTGCTTTGCTTAACAACCAAGTTGCTGGTCCCAATTGTGGTTGCTAAACGAGGACTACCTGTTTCCCAAAGAATCCATGATACAATATGAGGCCAATTAAGGTGTTGATCTCAAGTTTCCAACTTTAGTGTCAAACATTTGGCATTGTGCTATGGACAGTTAATATCTTTGCAGAGGAAGCCCTCAAAATGAACTGATTTACTTTTAGCCAATAATTTAGTTACTTTCAGATGAGGCTTTTATGGTGCAATTACCATAGCCTCATTCATAGTCCAAGTGTCACTGTTTTTTATGTATTTTCCTACTATTTGTTCAATCTTTTTTTAAACCATAGAAAATCTGGTAAAGTGGCAATGATAGAATCATGCCACAGTATCTTTTGGGAAGTAATCCTAAGAGCCATCCATTTGGAAACAAACTGAAATCAAAGTAACATTACAGCTGTTGCTGCATTTTTCAGAAATTGCCCAGGGATTCTTCAGTGAGGCCAGAATGCAGTTAAGCAACAGCTTATCTATCTAAGTGACAGTTTATTCATCAGTGCAAATCATCATGCAAGGTGTGGATAATGCTAGCTGGCTTATACTGTATCCCACATGAGTTGAAGGTGCCCCATAGTTGTGGGTGATTTTCTGAATAGATGGACTTAACATTTCTTGAAACTAAAAGTTTGCCTAGCAATGCTGCTAGGAAGAGCAATGCAGCTGGGCCATTCAGGCAAGAAGGATCAAGCTGCAGCTCTTAGAATCCCATACTCAATGCTATGAATCATTCGTAACAGGAAGAATTGCTAAAGTTCCTGGACTGTCTTTTAAAAGGGCAAGATTTCTTTAGAATCCAACAAAATGAATTATTTCCTGGCTTCTCTGTAAGGGAGTTCCAAATAGTTTCTTCCTAGGAAAAGCTGCATAAACTTTATCTCCAGAGCTTCCTGCTTCTTCTGACATGATTTCCTGTTTGTTGCAACCTCTTACCACATACTATAATCCTTTTCACTCAGAGTAACAGCCACAGATCTTGGCATAATCCAAAGAGTCACTGGAGGTATCTAATGGGCCAGATTCCAGTGACAAAGTTATTCTAAATAGGAGTTTTAAAAGGCATCCTATGTTTTCACTCATGTAATGGAAAAACACAGTATAATGTAAATTACATGTTTGTAGACTATTATGGCTTGCAGGGGTTGATGGAATTAAGTACATATGCAGTTTGAGTATGTCAGTGATCTGACAGATGGTGCTTTGGACCAGATGGCTTTGTATTGCACTTAATAAACATTTTCTCTATGATCGCAGTGTTGTTTTTTTAACTTCCAAATATGCTATGTGTAAAAAGAAACTTGCAGCTTGACTGTTAATGAGGGCAACGTTGCAGATCTTGTACAGACCCAACCCTCAACAGGATTAGGCTATAAAAGCAAAATATTATATAATTTCTACCTGAAGATGTTACTAAAAGAATTCAACACCCAAAGTTAAAAATATAAGGTACGCAAGACTAGTACTAAAGGACAGTTGTTTTAATAGCAACACGATCAGTCTATAAAAATCATTTCATGGGAAAAGCTAAATCTGCATGTTTTGCAGCAGAGATGTATGTGAAGAATAATTGTATAACTTTTGTGCATACTTTTGAATGCCCAGGTTAAGTTCATTTTTAAAGTCTTCTTGACATAATGGCTGCTGGGATAGTGTTACTCTTGCTTTACAGAATTAACCCAGTTGGCTGGGTTTGCACAAAACACTAAGCCTTAAACTAGCAACACAGGTGAGGCTCATATAATACATGATAATCTAAAATCTGGTTGGTTAGTTCATGTTCAGTTATGCCACATAGACACAACTGATATGTAATTCAACCCAACTAGTACAAAATGGGTGTTTAGCTGATAACCTAAGACTGAAGTCCAGTATTGAACAGCTGATGTTAAGCAAGTATTGGGTGGACTTACACATAACTAATCCATGATTTGTTTAACCATCGTTTATTAAGACATTGTGTTTATGCGTAACACTTGGCTATAATAAACTGAGGTTTACCAACCACAATGGCTGGATCACAATCATGCTAAAACAAAAACCAACCAACCACATGAAGGTTTCATACAATAAGTGAACACAGCCAATTAAGCATACATTCTATCTCAAGAATGTCTATAATTATTGTAAATGTTACTTAATTTAGATTACATATGTCCAACGGATGGGAGTTGGGGCAGAGGGATGGGAGACAAATGATACATGCATCATGACATCACACAAATGACAGAACTTATGTATTTGCATTAGATGTCATGATGCAATTACACAATCACATCTGCACAGACATTATGATGCTTGTGTTATTTTGACGACATTGTGAGTTACTACAGTTGTCACTTTTTCCTTACCACAATGCCTAGCTACACCAATTGTATGGGTTGAGGCTACTATATCTCATACTAGCCTGTCCTTGTCAGTAACAAGTGATAACATTGAGAAACTCATAATGAAGTGACTCTGTTCAGGAGATGTTTAGCTGCAACCATGGATAATTATTGGGAGATTGTTTCTGACAACAACCCAACGGCTAAGCAGGAAGGAAAGAGTAGAAGCAATATTCAGAGCACAATGTAAGGGAGAAAGCCTATTTCCATGGATTGGTCCATCGGTCTCTGCTTGGGAAGACAAAAGGGAATTGCTTTGGAGCTATGGATTCTGCACCAGACTTCTCCACCCCCAGTATTTCCATCCAAGTTGTTGACGTAACATCTCGTAGAAGGCTGTATGCAGAAATCAAGGACTGTTTAGGCACACCCATCACAGTGTGTCTCTGAAAAGGAGATCTTGTGCCCCAAACTGTCTTGTAGAAGAACCAGCCCTGTTTTCTGGGCTCTTGGCTAGAAGAAAGAACATATATGTGTGTGGGCACACACACATTTTTAATTACTTCACTGATTTGAGCCTGAGATGCTCCCTTTTATGGAAGAAGTCAAGTCTTTGCCCCAAGCTGATGTCCAGAGAAGCTGTCCCAAAATGACATGTTTTTCTTGGGCCCTGGTACAGCAGTGAATCCTATAGTCATGGTGGAAGAGCTTTCACCACAGGAGGTGTACTTGAGCTCCATCAGCAGGTTTTGTGAAATAGAATGTCGCTGTCCTGCTGTATTTCTCCTAGTCAATAAAAGCAAAAGCCGTGATATGCAATTATCTGAATGATCAATGGAGACAAAATGTATCAGGAGAAAAAGTTCACAAGTGTGCAAACCTGACTTGGGGCATGTCAAATGGTGGTACCCTTATCAGATGGCAATTACTAAGAGGTGAACCAAAGACACTATCAGCAAGTATATGAGTTTGCTCAAACAACACATTTAACAGCAGAAAACATATGCTGGTAATGGATGTTCAGTTCAAATGTTCTGGTCTTCTGCTTCTATCTGCTGTAGGCAAGATGGCAAGGGATCAAACTAAACACCCAGAAGGCAGCAGATTGTCTGTGTCTGCACTAAAGTCTTTTTATTCAACCAACAACAGTTCCAATAGCAGCTGAAGAAAACAGCTCTTAACAGAGAAGCTGTGGGGAGATAAATGGCAAGTGGATCAAGATAGTTTCTATGCTCCCCAGCACAGCCATTTCTCCTCAAAACTAAATTCATCTCCCTGTGCTAAGTGCTGTTAAAATCTTTCTTTGTCACACACAGACATTTTCTACTTGACTCCTCCAGACATAAATTTCATTACATTAGGGATCTGAAAAACATTCCATGCATGAACCATTTTATGTATGGAACAGCTGATTTGGGGTAGTTCATGCCCAACCCAAAATATGTCACTTTTGGTCCATATACAGATCAAAATTAGGCCGTTTTGTTCCAGATATGGATTGAAATGTGATAGTTCTGGACAGATGCAGTTTGCAGTGGGGAGTAAAAGTGGGAAAAATCCAAAATGGACTGTTTTCCTTAATGCTGGTGCCTGGGAGCATCAGTTACAGCAGAAACTGAGAGAGAAAGGGAAGGTGCGAGAAGACTGGAGGCAGGTGGAATATGCAAAACTGGGACATTATCATCCATGGCTGGAGACGGTCAGGCAAGGGTGGAAAGGAAGATGCTGGGGGTTGGGGTTCCAGAAGGATATGCTTGGAGCCTGTTTCTTACTGCTGAGATCATCTCAGGAACAAGCAGGCACATAGGCCGACACACTGGTGGCAGGTGGTGGCTGAGGGAAGGCAGGGAGAGAGGCAAGGTGCTGGGAAAATGGAGGGAGGGCTAGACCAGTGTATATGCCATGTGGAAGAGGAGGGAAGAGAGGAGGCTACCTGCACCATCTTTGCCATACACACTCCTCAAAATAATTCTCGGATCCCACAGGTTTTTTTTTTCAGCTGAAATTTGCAACAACACAAACATTTTGGATTTTGTATTGTCAAAGGCTTTCACAGCTGGAATTCGATGGCTGGTGTGGGTGTGCCGGGCTGTATGGCCGTGTTCTGGAATTTTTGTTTCCTAACGTTTCGCCAGCATCTGTTTTTTTCAGCTGAAATTTGCAACAACACAAACATTTTGGATTTTGTATTGTCAAAGGCTTTCACAGCTGGAATTCGATGGCTGGTGTGGGTGTGCCGGGCTGTATGGCCGTGTTCTGGAATTTTTGTTTCCTAACGTTTCGCCAGCATCTGCTGCTGAAGCTTCTAGCTTCTGTGTTATACTGCAAAGCTAGACTGCGTACGTAGATGCTGGCGAAACGTTAGGAAACAAAACTTCCAGAACACGGCCACACAGCCCGGAAGACCCACACCAGCCATTTTGGATTTTGTTTTTGCCAAACCACAGTTGATTCAAAATGGTTCAGCAGAACTTCCAAGACACAAAACTCTGTTTCATGTTCAAAATAAAACAAATTTTAATGCACTCCTCTATGACGTACGCAGTCTAGCTTTGCAGTATAACACAGAAGCTAGAAGCTTTTCTACTTAATAGCAGTTCTGTTCAACTGTATTGTTTATCAGATCACAAAACAGAAAAAAGCCAAGAGATTACAAATGAAACAAAACAGAAATACAATTAATTAAAAAAAACAGTAAAAATGATAAATAACTCCTGCTTTGGTGGATTTAACCTTAGTGGAAAATGTTCTGATATTTGTTTTCCAACTGCAGTATTAGAAAAGATTGTTAATAAAACCATCAATTTAAAAAAAAATGTAATTCTTAAAATTCTCTAACACATTGTCCTACATCTGCATTATAAAGTTGGCATATTTCTTGACTAGTGCCAGTAATCAGGAAACAGATCCTTTTAATCTATTGAGATCCTTTGTTCAAAACATGATTTCTGTTTTCTGGCAAATATTTTTTTTAACAACAAGGTAACTTATTCTTATACCTTATGTCAGGAATTGTACAGAGCATTGTTCGAATTTTAGCAAGAATAGGTCCTGTCTTCAAGCAAAACTATTTCTGGAGATAGTATATAATTTCAGTGGATTAAACGGGACTGCCTTAACATGACATTTGTTGTTAAAAGCTCATCATTTTTAGTTATGTATCATTTTTTCTGAAGCAGATAAATCTTTGAATATCTAAATTTCAGAAGTATTAATAATCTTGATGCTCCAAAAGCTACTGTCCAAATACTTCACTTTTATTAAATCAGATTAATAAAACCATTCAATTTTTTAACAAATAAATCAAAATAAATATTTGCTAATAGGGCAAAACGTGAGCCTAACATAAGCTACATCTTACTTTAACCATAGTCTGTTGAAAAAGCTATAGTGGCTACTGACCTGGATCATCCATAATACTAAGACACAAATCATGGTTTACAAGTGCCAATAGCTGAGTTGCCTGAATACAACATGCCAGGACCAAACAACCCACCTAGTGGCTTAGCCTGATTGCGAACCCAGCCATCTTCACAGCATAAACCTGATGTTTTATTTCAATCCCTAAACACCCCTTCAGGGTGTAAGAGCAGGTCCTTAAAACTGTTCATAAAAATCTATCCTTAGAATTAAAGTGAGGAATTGAGACAGCCAGGAAGAAAAATAGGACTGGATTTGTGGATGAAAATATTGGGAATTTTTTATATCAAAAATAATTGTATGCATTGATTCCAATGCATATCTATCCCCAGGGAGAATGTTTTGAACTCAACACAGGTTTTAAGGGGAAAAAGCTGATGTTAGAGAACTGTACCAGCGGCCCACTGTTATAGCTGCATCAACCACTTACCTTGATACGTTTTAGGACTTTTTCTGCAGCTCCAGATTCAAGAAGAGTTACAGTGGAACCTCCAAAACCACCACCAGTCATTCTGCTACCATAAACCCCAGGAATTTCCACGGCAGCAGCTACCAGCTCATCTAATTCTGGACAACTAACTTCATAGTCATCCCTGATGGGAGGAAAAGTGAGTGATTTTCAAACAAAAATTAGGGGGGAAAAAAAACCCTAATTGTCAATTACTGTAAGGAAGGAAAGAAGCTACCCACAAGGGGGAAGGAAAAAAAAAAAAGGTTAGGAGTTACAGTAGACCTAATCTATAATGACAGGAATGGGATATGATTACAAAAGCATCTAATTTTCACCTTGGGATACATTAAAATGCATCACTTGCAACAAATAAATCCTATCTCATTACACTGCGCATATATTTATTTGTTTGTTGTTGTTGTTGTTGTTGGAGAACAATATGATGCACCAAACTGACTTCCTCTACCCTTAGGAAGAAATGCTCCATGCAGTACAGATATGACTAAGGCTGACAATCTAGTCTACACCTTCTCCACCTTGTTTAAAAATACGTCTCAGTTGGCCAAAGCCATGATGGATGGCACTTATGGGTCCATCTGGAGACACACAGACAACTGTCACTTGGAATGTAGGAGGAATAAAAAGCAAGGGCATAAATTCTGTGAAACCAAAGAGCTGCAACAGATCTACATTAAGGTGTTCTGATTTTTTGCAGTGGAGTTGATAGCCCTAACCCTAACCTCATTTTTTAACAAGTACAAAAGGAATACCCCAGACTGTATATCAGCTGTGGATTGTTGCCCTACCGTAAGGAATTGTGGCTCTCCACCATCAGTTGCCCAAACCTCTTATAATCCCTGGCCTCCAGAGCCTCGGCTGCCCTAGCAGTGCGTTCTATCTCTCCAATCACATGTCTGGCTCGCCTGTGCATCTCCTTGCTCAGGAGGCCCCTGGACTCTGGAGAGAGAGAGAAAAACAACATGAAGCTAGAATCAATTAGGGCACAAAGGTTGAAAAATTACAGGAGGTGGCAGAATGCATAGTGGAAGCTCAAAATTTGGGTTTCCACTTGGGGATAATTATCAATCCCTAAACACCCCTAATTATCCCCAAGTGGAAACCCAAGTTTTGAGCTTCCACTGTGCATTCTGCCACCTCCCGTATGATAGTATAGGTAGTCCTTGTTTAGCAACAGCCTCACACAGCAACCGTTTGCAGTTAACAATGGTGATGAAAAAGTAACTTTGCAACCAGTCCTTGCATTTACGACCTTCACAGAGCAGTAAAACAAAGGAAAGCTGAAGTAAGTTCATAAGCAGAGTCGCATTTCACTTAGCAACTGCTTTGCTTAATGGCTGAGTTGGCAGTACCAACTGTGGTAGCTAAAGAGGACTACCAGTATGCTCAGTGTTTCAGTTGTTTCTCTCCCATCCATCTCCCTTTGCTCTGGAACAGAGATGCAAAACTTCTAGATGTTCTGAAGGCCAGAGGCTGACGGTCCCCACTTTTCCAAATAATGTTTACCCTCTAAGTCTGTCATGCTGGCTTCTCTCAGGCTTGCCTTGCCAAGCAACTTGGCTGCCTCTTCACACTGACGCCGACGGGTGGGATACTCGCTGCCTGTCAAAGTGTGCCGTACATTGGAATTGGTGATGAGAACAACTAAGTCTGGGTCGGTCAAAGGGACCAGGCGGGTTTCCAAGGACCTGGAATAACAAGAAGATACAACTAGATCACATGAAATGATGCTAAAAGTGGTTACTGAGTTCAGTTGCTTATTCATAAGAAATTTTGAAAAGAGCTCAGTCATTATAAACCAAAGTGTACTGCCCGCATAAAACAACTTTACAGATTCAAGGCTTTAAACTTTAAATCTGCATTCTGAATTCTAAAATGTGCATGAGTTGGGTATGTGTTATATTCTAACAATTTCTAATATTCTGTAAAAATATTCATACAATCATAAAAGACTGGGGCTGAGTTGTCAACATAAACAACATGGGTTTACAGTAGCTCTATCCCCAGCTTCAACAACTCACCCAGGGCTTGAGGTAGAAGGGTTATCTGAATGCCCTATGAAAATTTTATGCTATAAACACTTTAGAAGATGATTTTTTTTTTTAAACAGGGCAACATTCTCTTTTGAATATTGTGAGCCTAGTTAGATGAGATAACTGCTCTGTGGGGACCTGATCTCTCTATGTAGATGGCAGACGTTACAAGAGAACAACTACAGTCACATTCTGACCTGCAGTCTATCAGCAAGGCATGTCCTTCCTTCCCCATCACAGAGATAAATTGGTCCATGATACCGCAAGGCATCATTGCAAAGGTGTGTTCTGCTTTCTGGCACACCAATGCCTTAGTAACTGGATCCCTGTCATCTGTACCAAGGAAGAAAAATATTCACTGACAGATTTGTACTGTACTTCCATACAAAGGAGAGAGGGCAAAATATAAAAACCTGGTTCATACATCAAGACATGCCAAAATGCGGCTTGTATGGTTCTGGTGTAATGCAGATGTATGAAGAGCGCAGCCTTCCAGTGTTTGTTTTCCAGGATTTGCACCCTTCAGAGTGGGCACGGCCAAAAAATTCAGCCCATGTTTCAATGGTTTTGGGAAGGATTAGAATTGTTAAGAGCAAAATGGGTGTCTCTCGCAGCTCTTTCATCCTTTAACCCCACCCAAATTGATCCTGGTTCCACCCAGCTTTGGAGTATGGCCATCAACATGCAACCCAGTGTGAGCCCTTGTAGCAACAGATGTTGTGTACCCTTGGCTTGATGTGTTGTGTGAATTCAGCTATTGTGGTTTGTAAGCAATGGCTAATGCTGTTGAGTGTCCATCCAGTAACTAGATTCTAATTCACCATTCTCACAGTGACCAGGCAGATGCTTGAAAAAGAGGATACCAGAATGTATCTATCCAGGTCAGTCTTTCTCCATCTAACCTAGTGTGGTCTTTTCTGAGTGGTAGCAGCTCTCCAAATGGGCAGAGTCTTTCCCAAAAGTTTTGAGATGCCAGGGATTGCAATGCATCTGTGCAAAAGTTCTTGAGCTATGGTGAACCTCAGCCTCATTTAACTAACAAGGTCCAAAAGGCAGTAGAAATTACAGGTTGAAAAATATACCCCAGACCAGCCTTCCAAGACTACTGCAAAAATCTGGAACTGGTCGATGGCAACAAAGAAGGCAGAAAACATTCTTTGCTTCCATCTCATTGTCTGGATTTTTGCCACCCAGCTCCTAGCCTTCCCCAAAGTGGAAGTGCTCTCAGATGTGTCATCTTCCCTCAGAATTCTCAGCAATACTGGATGTGTTGAAACCAGGTTTATCTGTTCTAATATTTTTCTACAGATAGTCCTCGACTTACAACCATTTATTCAGTGATTGTTTGAAGTTACAGAGGTGCTGAATGAAGAGACTTATGACTAGTCCCTGAAGTTACAGCTGTTGCAGCACCCCTGCAGTATGAGATCAAAATTTGGGTGCTTGGCAGTCTGCCTGCACTTACAACCGCAGGGGCGCTTCAACTCCCCTCACCCGTCTCTCCCCATCTATGCCCTTTTGGCCCCCTGCACTCCATGGCCCCTGCCTCCCTAGCTTACCTTCGCCGTCTTCCTGCTCCTGCTTCTGACCAAGCATGCCCAGCCTGGCCCTTTGCGAGGCAGCTGCTGGCCACACGAGGCATTCTTCCCCAGGTTGCACACAAACGTTTCCTCACGAGACCTGGGGAAGAAGGCCTCGTGTGGCTAGCAGCTGCCTTGCAAAGGGTCAGGCCAGGCCTACCTCGTCAGCAGCGGGAGCAAGAAGATGGTGAAGGTCAGCTGGAGTGGAGTGCAGGGCAGCAAGGACCTCAGAGTGCCAGGTGGCGAGGGTGACTGTGACTGGAACTGGGCTGGGGTGGCTGCGGCTTTGCACCACACTGCTGGGCCAGGCTGGACTTCATGCTGTGCTGTGGCTCAGGGGCTTTTTGCAGCCCCAGCCATGGCAGGGTTCAAGGTGGCCAAGGGCAGAGGTGTGGTGGGGAGATAGTTGGGTAGGGGGTGTTGAAGGGGAGGCAGTCCCTTACCTTGGAAGAACCAAGGCTCAGGGCTGGAGGGACCAAGCCCGGAATGGCTTGGATTGGGGTGGGTCCTCGACTAACAACCAGTGGAATTCGGTTAACAACGGCAATGGGGAGTGCTGCAGAGCCCTGTTCAGAGTACCTGTCAAGGAAGAGAGTACTGTATAGAGTAGCAGTGGAAAATCAACTGGTCTTCCAGCAGTTTCTGAACTACAACTCCCAGTGCCCCTCACCATTGGCTGGGACTGCTAAGGTTCTGCAACATCTGGAGTACAATAGGTATGACATGCCTGCTGTAACTGAATACAAAAGGTGGACAAGGTTTCTGAAAGATATTTTCTACATGGCATTTTCCCCTTATAAGTGGAGTGCTGCAATTGCTGTCGCTAAGTGATACAGCCACGTGATGTTTTGCTTTACGACCACATGGCTTAGGGACAGAAATTCCAGTTCCAATTGTGGTTGTAAGTTGAGGACTACCTGTACAGTTATTCTGAAGATAAATAAATATAATTAAAAGGTCACTATTGGCACCCTAAACTGGTAAGTGCTCTTATATCTCCTCTCTTTTAAGTTCTTTTCCTGGTAAGCTAAGGTCTTGGGTTTGGGAGATAAATCATTATATTCTTCTCTCTCATTTACTCAAATTAGTTGATTAAAACATTAACAATAACCCTGAATTAACAGAAAACACAGGAGATAAATAAAAAGATACAAAACCCAAAATGTACCTTTTATGTTTATGTAAGGAATGATTGCTTAGTTTGTCACAAGAGCTTCTTCTCTTTTTTTCTTTCTATATAATGGTTATTCTTTTTTCCTTCTTTTCTCTCCCTTTAATCTGCCTGACCATCAACTGCCTCTCTCTTCTTTTAATCCTTCCCTCTCCAAGTTCCCTTCCCTTTCTTCCTGCCTTCCTTATGAAGATGCGTCCAGTTAGCACTTCACTTGCTTTAAGGAGAACGCACAGAATCTACGGTTTCATCACAGGCAAAGACTACCCTGGACTGACTCGGAAATTCCGATTCTTACCGGGAGAGAGCTGCTGCAGGAAGGTGTACACGGCCACTTCTAAGGAGGCTGAACTTGAGAGACCACCACCTACTGGTACATTACCCTCTATTACAGCATCAAAGCCTGGGAGAGGGCCAGCTACAGTGAAACAGAAAAGCAGCACAGGGGGAAACCAACAAAGTTCAAGGCAAGTTCCACAAACAATCTGTAATTTAACAAACCCACTAACCTGAAGAGCATCATGTTTAATTAAAAGTCTGTCACAGTTTGGGAAAGATGCTCTGTCTAAGTAAAGGGCTATACTTCTTTGAAGGGATCAAAGTCACAGTGGCTGGTATGCCTATCACATTGTTATCTTGGCTTTGTGGGAGATGGGAAACCATCCAATGGGTTATACTCCAACCATGGCTTAGCACCCAGTCAGAGAGATTTAGTAGGAAAATCTTCCTAAAGCCCTGCTCAGAGTACCTGTCAAAATTTAGGCTCATATTTCTGTTTTCTGTCTGGACTTTTCACTGTGATATTCCATGAAATTACTATGGTGAAGATTGGATTTTGAACTTGACCATAAGGGCTCCCTTACATAATGGATTGGGACTACCGTCCTATGTGAGGGGATGGGGAATATCTGAATCTCTCTACTAACTAATGTTATATTACAGCCTTTCATCACCTCATTCCTAGCAAACAGGGGTTTCTGCAAGGGGGTCACTTGAGAAAGGGCAGAGCTTTGACTGCATGGTTGTAGCTGCTGTCTAGACTTTCATTACTCCCTTATGGATGCCCCGACTGCCATACTATGTAATAACCTCAATCTCTTACTGATTGTGGATCTTACCTTTATAATGCTGGATAACTCCTTTTACATAATTAGCCCAGCGAGGTTCTCCGGGTTTCAAGGAATCACCCTCCCTTGGAACTGGAAACTGCACAGTTTTAGGCTCGTCAGCTTCCTCTGCAGTTGTAGTTATGGATATTATTCCATCTTCCCTTGGACTCCCAACCACTACTGTTCTCATCTGTATGGCCTGAAGGAAGAGAGTACCGTATAGGGTAGCAATGGAAAATCAACTGGTCTTTCAGCAGTTGCTGAACTACAACTCCCAGTGCCCCTCACCATTGGCTGGGACTGCTAAGGATTGTGGTTCTGCAACATCTGGAGTACAATAGGTATGACGTGCCTGCTGTAACTGAATACAAAAGGTGGACAAGGTTTTTGAAAGACATTTTCTACATGGCATTTTCCCTCTATAAGTGGAAAGGAGCACAAGAATGAATAGAAATGAGAATATGAGTAGGGATGTAGATGTAGAAGCAGAAGAATTACTCTTCCTGTGGTCTTTAATTTGGTCACTAAGAATCATTATTTAATGGAGAAAATCCTTTGATTCATAAAGATTTCTCAAATATAGTCATTAGAAACTTTGGATATGCCTATTAACTGATTTGCATAAAAACATGTTCCCTAAAAGACCCAATTGCTGGCTTCACACATCACAACTGGCTAATCTGTGGCTTAATGTTGTACAAACCAGCCACTGTGATGAGTCTGGGGTTCAATGTGTCCCATGAACCAAGGCAATTGGGTTAATTTAGTAAACTACTGTTAGGTAAACTATGGGTCAGCATGTTGCTAAACTAAAACTTTTTCAAACATTATTGATATTATTATTGCAAAATGGTTTCCAGCTCCACCTACCAAGGATCTTCAGATCAAAGGTGCAGAAACTGGCAGGGAAATGGATTTGGAGAGGCAGGAGAAATCCTACAACACACAAACAGAAGTCTGCTTCCATCAAACTGGACGCAGCCTGTTATTATTCATTCATATATTCATAAATTGCCATCACTACACAGGATCCTTTGTAGAGTACAAAGGAATAGGTGGATACAATCTAAAATAAGATCCCATGGAGAAACAGAGAAGAAATATGCAATGATTTCATTTGCACTTGTGTGATGGAATGGAATTATGAAGGCCAGACTCAGGGAGGAAAACATGTTCTTTCATCTCCTGAGGAGCGAGGG